CAGTGGGCACAGGAGACAGTGACAGTGGACACAGGAGACAGTGACAGCAGACACAGGAGACAGCGGGCACAGGAGACAGTGACTGGACACAGGAGACAGTGGGCACAGGAGACAGTGACAGCAGACACAGGAGACAGTGGGCACAGCTGACATTGTGGCACAGGTGACGGGCATCCGCTTAGGCGTCCAGAGTCTTGGCCAGCGGTGCACAGCTGGGTAGAGGCATCACTGGCTGTGGGGAAGGAGGGGAGGGGCCGAAAGGCCCTCAGGTGTGTGCACAGGGAGCTCGGGGACAATTCCCCCATTCAGGGTGGTGCCCAGGTACGTTTTCCTGGCCTCCTGGGGGGGGCGCCCCGGTGTGTCTGCTGCTCGCTGCCAGACGGGAAGAGGAGGCTGGCTCCCACCCCGCGCAGCCGCCTCTTCTGGGCGCCGCAGAGCTGCGGGGCACGGGCCAGCCTGGCGGAGCTGCCGTCTGCTGAACCTCAGAGCGCAGTGGTGTGCGCGCGCGCGTGCATGTGTGGGGAGGGGTGCGTCCAGAGGTTCCCCAGGTTGTCAGATCCCCTGGAACTGGAGTTCCAGGCTGTTGTGAGCTGTCTGACGTGGGTGCTGGGAACCGACCTCTGGTCCTCTCTTCCACGTGTTAGTGTGCGTGAGCTAGAGACTGAGAGACAGAGGAGTGCTCTTAACCGCCGCGCCATCTCTCTGGAGACACAGAGACAGACCCTGAGCAGAGACGGGGTCTCTCAGTGGCCTGGAGCGGCCGTGTGGGCCTGGGAATCCAGTTTGTCCCTTTACACTTGTGTGTAAACGCACATTCCGTGCCCCCCCCCCCCTGCCGTGCTTTGTAGCCCAGGCCAGCCTGAACGCACCATCCTCCAGCCTCAGCCTCCGGAGTGCTGCGATCACACCAGCACACTTAATGACATTTAGTGTCCCTGGAGCGGGGGAGGGACACTGGTCCAGCAGAAGGTCTCGCTGCCAAAGCCTGGCCAGATGACGTGGCCTTTGGAGAGCTGCCGCGGGGGATGAATGAAGGTGAAGGCCAAAGGGGCCAGAGCGCCCCAAAGACCTAGGCCGCACGGGGCAGCCGGGCTCCAGGTAGGAGGGCGCCCTGCGGAGGGACCGGACTCGCCCTCCCCTGAGTGTGTCCGGCGCGGCCAGCGGGGCCCTCCCTTCCTGGCCCTCCATGCTCCACTGGCCTTTGTCTGGCTTCAGGAAAGGCCTGGCCGCCCCAAGACAGATTAGGGTCCCCTGGGCTGTGTCCCCACAGCCAGATTCCCCAGCAGGGAGTTGGCGGCCCGGCTGGCTGGGGCTGGCCCCGGCCACCTGGGGGGCGGAGAGGGCGGGGCACCCACCCACGCAGGCCCGTGGGGGCCCGAGCCGAAGGGCCTGGCGGCCGGCAGGGCCCGGCCCGGCTTGGTCCCCAGGCCCCACCAGGTGGAAAGGGAACTGGCTCCCCCTGGTGATCACGGAGGGCCGCGCGTGCGCGAGAAGGCCAGCCCCGAGGCCCACTGCAACTGCGGGAGGGCGGGCGCCCTCTGCGGCGGGCGGAGCGCGGCATGGCCGGCGGGAGACGCGCAGGGCCCGGCGGCGCCCGCCCTGGGGAGCCGCTCGCCCAGGGTGCGGGGCTGGAGCCGCCCCGGGCCTGGCTGCCGCCGTCGCGCCCGCTGGCTGTTGGCGTCCGTGCAGCCCCGCCGCGGCCTGTCACGCTCACGAGGGAGTAGAGCGAGGTTCTGACCTGGCTCTAACGGGGCCCCTCAGGCCCCGGGAGCAAACGGTGCAGGGCGGCCCTGGAGCCGGCCCGACGCTGACCCGACGCCGACCGGACGCCCCGTCCCTCCAGCCCTGAGGAGCGCGGAGGACGCTCAGACACAGCCTCACCCGCCGCCGTCACTCCGTGGTAAGCAGCCACGCGCCTGCAGGGGGCGCCGTGCGCGCTGAGCTCACCAGGCTGCGCCGCTGGCTGCCTCTGCGGTGAGCGTGTGTGTGTGTGTGTGTGTGTGTGTGTGTGTGTGTGTGTGTGTG